GGGGTTCTGGGGGGTCTCCACCAGCATATTTACACTATTTTGACAATGGCGGGTAAATATACAGGAACATTTTCACAACGGCGATGTTAAATTTGACAACGGTGGTGCGCCACTGTTCCTCTTATGTATGAGAAGCCCTGTGCTTGTGAGTGTGCTACGCCCATCCATCGTGTATTTGTCCTTGAACCTTTCTCGATCAGCTACTCCCTCCTGTTTGCATTTGCAAAAAATTTACAACAGTAATATATACGTACGATATCTTATCGTTATGCTTATGTACCTTGTTGAGTGACTAACAAACAGATCAGTGAATTTTGTTCGTTTTCTCGTTTTAAAAATACGTCTGTATTCAGGTGCCATTGTGGAAGAAGGTGTCAGTCATCCTCAACACGCAAGAGCTCCTGTCACCGCTGCCCTTGGGCGCCCCCTGGTGGAGGTTAGAACACGCATATTGTTGTCATTCCCTCCAACGTTATTCTCTCTATAACTAGTAATTCTGCATCAGTTCTTAGTGGTTGGCAGTGCCCACTTTGCAAACATCTAAATCGTTATCTTTACTTTTCCGATCGAGAAGCAAAACCTTATTAGCTATTTTAGAAATGTGCAGATTATGTACCTCTATAATATAGACAAGAATCGCTAATTAAGTTATATATGTCGTTTTTAAAGTTTTACATGTCATGGAAAAGTTCGTTTCAATTATTGAACGCTAATACCGTTTTTTAGTACAAAATGATAGTTCAAGATGTTAATCTAGAAAAAATGTCACTTTTAAGCCTGAAGGCAATAGAGACCCCAGGGGTAGAAATTAACTTTTGAACAAGCGAGTCCAACGGACTACTGCCCTCAAAAAGAGGGAGTCTGCGGCAAAATGAGGGAGTCCGGAGTCTGAAGTTCAAAATTAAAGATATTAACAATAATTACGCATGTGCGTATTTTGAAGATTCATGCAGTTGCACGTCTGCCAAATTTTCTTTGGACATTTGCTGAAAAAATACGGTAATTCCGCGAGGCCATGCTCTGGAACGAACTATAGTTAGTATGGCAGAATTTTCAGGGAGTCACACGGACTCCTGCATATGTCAAATCAGGGAGTCCAGCAGTAAATCAGGGAGTATTTGACTCTGGACTCCCGTTAATTTTGCACCCTGAGACCCCGTTGTTAATTAATGTGGAAACAAAAGAAAAATATTCCCTGACACCATATGTAATCCCATGGCATTTAGGATAACGAACCGCCCGATGACGTCGTTGCCGCAGCAGTGGCAGCTGCTAACCTCATTGTCATTGACGACGCTGACTCGCAGGAAAGGTTGAACCTTGTAGAGGATAATGACGTTGCAGAACAACCGATAGCACCAGCAGAACCAGTCGATTCCTTACATGATTTCATACATAAGGTGGTGAGTGTCATTGCAAACGTCACATCGCCAACGGCTGGTTCAATGTTAATGTGAGAGCGATAGATCAGTATTTCTTAATCTAGATAAGAGATTGTGGATTTTCCCGAAGTAAAGACTTGCACATAG